AGTAGACAAAAACAAACAAATAAAAAGGCAACAGACATACAATAGTTATTAGTATTCCTTGATAGGTAATTTTCGTAGATATTAGACCGCGAGCTATCATGTTTTACAAGTTTTTGTTAAAAAATCCGAATTATGCATGCCTGTATCAATCGCCTGGTTCATATAATAGTTGTTCTTACTTATTGAGTACGATTAAGTGTCGAATGAGATAAACGAGTTTATGCATGATTGTTTTATTCCTGTCGGTGGGTGCTGCTTATGCAATCCTATATAAACAACGTAATATTTATTTTATTTACATTTGCAGTTTCGCGAGTAATAGATAAGCTGTACCTACTTAAGTTCAACACTTATTTACGTATTTCGCAAAAAAAAAAAACAATGTTGGAAGTAAAAAAGAAGAGACGGCTATACTGTGCGGAATATAATAAATTCTGATTCATTGAAAATATCACAAAAGCATCGTCGCCTTTGTGCCTTCTATGTCTGAAACATTTTCGAAAGAAACAATGAAGCTTTCTAGGCTACAAAATCATTTGAATAAAATGCACCCAGACAAGAAAGACAAGAATGTAGCACATTTTCAAGACGTAGAGAAAAAGCATAATACTTAGCCAAGTGTAGCAAAACTATTTCGGCGGCTGCTAAGCATGATGACGACGGACTTCGAGCATCGTACAATATCTCTTTGCTGAAAAAGGCAAACCACATAACATCGGAGAAGAGTTAATTTTGCCAGTTGTTACGCATGTCGCTCCGGCTATGACAGGGCGCCATAAAGGTTTCGTAGTGCACTTACAAAATCAAATTCCAGATGTTCTTGCTGTACATTGCGTTATTCATAGACAAAATTTGGTCACTAGAAACTCAAGTGATCGACTATTTCAATGCAGCCAATAAAACCCGCAACAGCTCTTTGTCATCAAAGCAGCCAATAAAACCCGCAACAGTTCTGAACGATAGATTATTTCATCAGCTTTGTGTTACTAATGACGGTGATTTTAACCGTTTGTTGTTTCATACTGAAGTTCGTGCTATCAAGAGGCTATTGTCTGACTCAATTTTACAACTTGTTTAACCCTGTCATATAGTGCTTAGAAACTAAAGATATAGAATTGCACAATAAGCTCATTACATCAAAGAAATGATATAGCTTACATGACAGATCAGAAATTTTTCAACGACATGTATGTTGCAAGGCGATGAACTAAAAACGTCGTTGCTGCTATCGCAGCCAATCTACTTCTACACAATAAGAATATGAGCAGACCTGAGTTTCACAATTTTCCGAATTTATCAAAATCCTGGAGTAACGACGACTTATTTGCCTACTGCCAACATTTGGAAAACCTCCATATTGACTTCAATGAACGATATCAGGACATTTTGAACTTGGATATACCGGACTTGGTATTGGATCCGTTTTCAAATCTCAACACAGCAATGTCACCTCAGCTGGAAGAACTTATAGAATTGACAACAAACTAGGAAATAAAAATCAAGTTAAAAAACGGTTACCAAGAATTTTAGCTACAAAAACCGGTCCCGCAAATGTATCCTGGATTATAGTCGTTCAACGATTCTTAATAGCATTCCCCTCGTCATATTTATGTGAACGTTGATTTAGTGCTGTGACAACACGTGGCGACTTGCGACTGTTATTGAGTAAATTGGGAACTAATACCAACAGACTTATTAAACAGCACCAGATTAACATTTACATTAGTTTTTATATTAGAATCAATTATGTTTGTTTTATTTGAATAAAAAATACTCTATTTGAATACTATAAAGTTGCGTTTCAATAATCATTTTCATTGACAGGTGTAGCCCGTAAGAGTTAACTTGAGACCAGAGCGCCGTTGTATATTACCTACTGTACTCAGGTTTCAAATTAACTCTTGCGAGTTATAGTAAAAGTCTCGTTTAAAATTAATGTTTAATCGCCGAGAAAAAAATATTTTCTAGCGCCCCCATTTTTCACTTACTTAAAAACGACTATAACTTCAAATTAAATTAATTCATTATTGTAAGCTATATAAGCGTAGATTAAACATTAATTTTAAACGACAAAAAGTAGACAAAATAAGTTTGGAAACCCCTGCTCTATACAAAAGGAACATACCCACACACACTTACATTCATACAATTCAAACACACATCACACGCACGCACTGTTATATATATTTGAGAAGTAATTAAAAGGTCAGCCATAAAAAAATTTGGTTAACCACAAAAATCAGTATTTTAATCGTTTGATCAGCATTTAAAGATTTTGTATGCAAGAAAAATAAAACTATCGGCAATCCTTGTTTCGCAAATAATCTTGATAATGATCAGTAATTTAATCATATACAGTCAGCTTAAAATAATATGTGTATGTCAAATAAACAGTCTATCCCCAAAATAACTACTTGATCAGAAAGATTCAGGATTGGTCAGCAAGAAATATTTGTCCGGTTAGCAGTTCATTTGATCGGTTTGCGTATTTAAAGCATGGTTAGAAGAATAACTAATTGGTTTGCATTTTTATTGAAAAGTCTGCAATGTACGTTAAAAGTGGGCAGAGCAAGAGTAGTCGCATGATACTAGTAGCCAATCGCGTGCGTGTATTGTCATTCGGTGTCTATGCGGCGATTAGTAGCTGTCAAATTACAGTGATAACAACTTGTTTTATGTTAATTAGTGTGAATTTTGATATTTTGCGAGTGTTATATGAGTACTGTAGGTAGCAGCCGGGACCGACGGCTTAACGTGCCCTCCGAAGCACGGAATCATCTTACTTTCGGACAATCAGGTGATTCAGGCCTGCAATGTCCTAACCAAACTGGGAAAAACTCACAAAGAAATATTTGAGAGTGTCCCCACCGGGAATCGAACCCAGTACCTTCGGATCGAGAGCCTAACGCTCTAACCACTAGGACACGGAGGCAGTTAATTTAATTAGTTAGTTTACTCTAAATACCCATTCATTGTTTTTGTAAGGAATGCGCCCATTTTGCGCCAGTCATTATTGCTATTTTTATATGCTTCACAAAATTAGATTAGTTGCTTCCCTCTAAGTGCTGTTCAAAATTGTATTTAACATGCGTCACTCATTGCAGCTTATATGATTATTATGCTAATAAAAAATAATTACAGCCGTCCAGAATGTAAAAAATTGTCGATTGATTTGATATTGTTTGCTAGCCATGGTCTGCTGACCAATCATATATTTCAACTGACAGAATACATTTTTCTGCTAGCAAAAATGTGAATACTATGCTAACCCGTTAAATAACACCCTATATATTTTATGAATGTAAAGAAGACGATTGTGACAATAAGCAATCTTCCATTGCATTGGCATTTTTCAACTTATGAATTTGTTCGAGCAGTTCTCCCGCAGCCCCGATCCGAGACACTCGCCCACATTTAAAATTCATTTTCGTTGATTAAATAAAATCATTTTTTTTAAAAAGCGACAATTCGTTTTCCTTATAACAGCACGATAGCAAATACATTCCTTCAGATTTTTATAAGTTTATTTTATTTTTTTCATTATATTATTATTTTAAATCATTATTATTTCTTAAACCACAGCTATGTTAACCTTAAAAGACATAGTCATTGATCTCGCGTGTGGGACCTGTAAATCCTGAAACACAGGGTCGCACTACCACCATTAACACACCATCATTTGCCTTTTTACATTTTAAAAAGGGTAATTGATGTGTGAAAAACCAATATACACGCTAACATATAAATTCTTACAGTTTTGATAATTTAGAACACTTCACTATCATACATTTATGGAATTGATTTTGCTTGACATATGAATGAATTCGAAAATAATAAAAAAAACTAAAAACGAAATTTACTTAAAAATAATATTTTGGCACATAATTACTTTTGGTTTCAAACTAAAATTAAAAAATATATATTACGCTTCTATTCTAGCTTCATTAATGGGAAGTATGTTACAGCTTTTGATTTCCATATAGATATTATTGATTTTTCTTTTCACCTTGATTGGTACAGCCTCCTGAGAATAAAAAATCTTACACGACAGACGAATTTACAACATAATGATTCTATATGAATTCCATTTGCCTTTAGATGTAGAAACCCTAATGAAGATTGATTGTGAAAGTCGTCGCTTAGACGGCACTTTGAACTCTTAGGATTTTTATGATTTTTTTTTATCAATAATTCAGAATATTTAGTTTTGTGAATTTATTAACCTTGTCGCCTTGACAAATATTTTTATACGCTCTGGGCGCTTATTTTATCGTTAAAGTTAAAAACAAACCGATACCTTAATCTTTAATCTGCACTATTAATCATTCTGTATTATGTCGGAACGCAGCGGCTACTGTGTATTAATAACATTAAGAACCAATACATAATGGTACTGTGATAAGATAAATTTAATCTTAAGATAAAGGTAAATACCTATACGATGACGATATTTCACCTACATTTTGTAGCTGCATGATGTTCAATAATGTTATAAATCTTATAAAATGATGTAGTAGTAACTCGTAACATTATATCTATACCAATATTAAGCGGGGAATTCACTAGGCGTGCAAGCCCGCGGGCAAATCTGCAGACGTGCCTGCCAGAGCTCGTCAACATAGGTCTGTCTAATGAATGATTGCGACGGTCCTACACAAGCTATAACGTGCCCGCCCTATAGTAAACCGGCGGGCATGCCCGTCTAGTGAGTTCCCCGCTTTATATAAGGGAGATTTTATGGTTAGTTTACATCTCTTTAAATTCTCTTTAGTTTGTATTGAATATGCTCCGAAACTACAAACTGTTTTATATAATCTTTCAACTACGGAAAGCTACATACGACAGTACATAATAGGCGAAGTCGCGATTAAACAGCTAATATAGTATTAAAGTACACAATTAAACACTTATAAACTGGAAATGTTGGTACTATCCCTTGGTAACTCTTAATATTTCATTTGTTGTTGATTATGGCATTATTCTTTACGTTTTTTTTTCAGGTGTGGGTAAAACGAGTCTCGTGGTGCGATACATCGGTAAAATGTTCTCAAAACATATCTCCCCTACTATCGGTGCGTCTTTCTTCACTTGCAATATCAGCGTAGGGGATGCCAGAGTTAAACTACAGGTAAAAAAAAATACTGAAATATTTAATTTTTAAATTGTGAATTTGCCTTGACTTTGGGTTGAATGTATTCATAATATAAGAATATAGCCTATATATCTTTGAAATAATGTTCTGTTAACAGCAAAAGCAAATTATACTCAAAAAACTTTCTAATTAATTGTGTAATAGTCACGCATAACCTTAAAAGAACCGCTCTACATCTTTATAAATACATATCAGTATTATATTTTAATGCATTTAATACTCCAAGTTCATAATGTTTGATAAGAAATACCGAAAGTTATCTTTCGTAATCGTATAAAATTAATTATGGCTTAAAATTGTTTATTGACTTTATACCGCTTGGAAGTTATTGATTGGTTAATTAAATTTACTAAAATAAGCTTATTAAATACACAAGCACTTTTGAATAGTCAAAATATTTTTCCCTAACAATCGTTCAGTAAGTTTATTCTGACAAGAAGTACAAGGTAAATAATATTAAAATAATATTAATAACGTTAAAATAGTACAAAATGGTACAAATTAACATGACACCTGTAGGTGTATTATATTTGTCCACGAACGGAAATTCTTATATCTGTGCATCAGGCAGTTTCAGGTCCTGCCTCCGTTTCATTGTAAATCATCGTCGAATGCACTCTAAATAGTTTAAAAATAAACTTTAAATAAAATAAGCGTTTTCTAAATAACAATCTTATTGCAGTCGAGGGACCCTGGCTGCGGTATTAGGTCAAGGTCACTATTTTATTTGCTATATGTATCAAGTTTCAAATGTAACTGTACTGATTACAGTAGAAGTGTACTAGGGGTCCATTAAATGAATGATTATCTCTACATCATCTCGGAAAAGACCTAATGACCGTCAAACGTCTGCAAAGATTTTCATAAAACACTACTAAGAACTCTCGATTAAGTCAAACACGCGTAAAACTCATAACACCCTTCTTTTTGCGTCGGCCATTAAAAATACGTTTCTTTCGTAGGAATCAATAAAATAAATCAAGTGTAATATAAATTTGTACCAGTTATATAAAAGTACCTACACTAGGCATGAGATCCGATCTTCCAGTTATGGGTAAGCCTATGATAAAGTGCCTTGTACACAGGTGTGGGATACAGCGGGACAGGAGAGGTTCCGGTCGATGGCACCCATGTATTACCGGAATGCCAATGCAGCATTACTGGTATTCGATATCACTAGTGTGTCCAGCTTTAATGCCATCAAGGGATGGGTCAAAGAGTTACAGAGGTAATTTATTCATATACTAGGTGACCTAAATTATTATGTATATGTGATGTGATGTGGTTGAAACGGCCGCTCGACGGCTAGCCCTTTAATTCGACGGCGGCATTTAATTGCACGGCTAAGCCTCAATCAGCTGAGAAGTTGAACACAACGTTCTACAGTACGGCTATTTGAAACTCAGCCAAGAAATATATGAAACATATTTATTATTTTAGTCTTCGAATTAGCCAATATTGAACGTTTGTGTCAAAATTATTTAAATAGAAGACTAGGAATGCAAATGAATGGTTCCATTCAAGTAAAGGGCTAGCCGTTCAACTGAATGGTTATTTTAACCAGTTGGCTCCGACATCTATTTATGTACTGATATTATAAAGAGGAATGAATTGATTGTTTGTTTATTTGCAACGAATAGGCTTCGGAAATACTGCACCGATTTCAAAAATTCTTTCACCTACGTGAAGCTATATCACATGCGGCGAACATAGGCTATATTTTATCACGGAAAACAGCAAATAAAGCGATGAAATTAGGAGATAAATTTTGTTTATTGAAATAAAACGTTACCATAGTAACCATTGCTTACTTTTGAATTTGTCATTGTATTTCCGAGTATATCCGTGTTATCATATGAATCGATCTCCGAATAAACAGTACCCTAGAGAGCACGCGGGCGAAGCCGCTGGCGAAAAGCTAGTAATATATAATGACCTATTATTAACGCAGATACTAAAATATATGTAAAAATGTGACCTTGTGGTTGACGTCCATTTAGGTTTAATGATGCCTTTAAGATCTAAATTTGTATCGGTGATGTCGCTTTAAACTAATGACAATATTAATGGAAGTTTGTGCAATTGGCTTAGACTATTGTATTAAGTTATTCAGTTATACACACAGTAACGTATCGGAAGAGATGGTGGTATCGTTGGTGGGTAACAAGTGTGACCTGCAGGAGAGTCGCGCGGTGACGTACGCGGAGGCGTCCTCGTACGCGGCCTCTATAGGCGCTAAATACTGCGAGACGTCCGCCTTACACGATCAAGTAAGTTAATATGTTGAATTATGCTACATGCCCAATGAGGAAATATTAAAAAAAACGAAAGCACTAAAAAAGCACCTGCACTAGATGGCGACTCTGGCAAAAGTTGATTTTTGCTGGAAACGAATGGACCAAAGACAGTGATTTCCGTTCCTTTTAACTAACATATTAAAAAACTGAAATTTGAAAAGTTCGAAACTTAGATATCAATAAAAATACGAAAAACTACAAATAGAATATGAGTTGTTTATTGACTTTTGAAAACTAATTTACTTTTAATTATGAAAGAAATCCGGAAGGGTTGAAATGGAGAAATCAAGAGCCTACCGTAGCGACATCTAGTTTGATTTCGGGAAGTAATGTTTTTTTAATGCCTCCTCATTGTCAAACAGAATTTCGTTAAAACTTTAGGTTCACTTTACTATAACAAAATAGGAATGCTGATAAATTTTTGTTTTTGTCCCTGGGACACTGACATGGGATTCCTTTTGCAATCCGGACGACTGCTCTAACCACTGAGCTACCCTGAACCTAACAGGACTGGCGAATTTCTGGGTAGCTCAGTGGTTTGCGCTGTCGCCCCGATTGCGAAAGGTCGAGGGTTCCAATCCCATCTCAGTAACAAAGACGAAGTGGATTATTTAAACGTTTTTCATTAAGAATATTTTCCGGTATAGCATTATGATTGCAAAATTATGCAAAATTATTAATATATTATACATTTAGCTCAAATGTCGCGTGACGTCACACCTTTGTACATTTTCTGCATAGTTGTGACGTTGCAAGCCCCTGCTCTTCAACTATAATATTTGCCATTCTTTGTTAAATTGGAGCCAAAAAACTACGTTTCTAATATTTTCCTATTTACTGGCTGTCGGGCTGAATAGATTTTTTTTTCTTAATGCGTCTGAGCGCAATATGGACGATTACGAAATTTTGTTTGTTTGTCCGTCAGGCAGATAATCGAAGAATATTACATTTTCTACATAGCTGTGAGGTAACGAGCCTCCTCAATTTTAATGTCTTTGTGTTAAAAAATATATATATAGTATTATATCGTATCAGACACTTTTTATATCCATTTATTGTATACAGAATATAGAGCAAGTGTTCCTGAGTACGGCGACGGCGTTGCTTGCCCTGTCTGCCACTAATCAAACGATGCGATCATACGACTCGGCGGATGATGAGCGACAGAACGGTTTGTTTATTTATTTATTTATTAACCAACAACGTTATGATATGCATCATGATCAGCCCTTTTACGTCCCCACTGCAGGGGCTCAGGCCTTCCTTATGGATGGTTAAGGAGGATGGGCCATGACCCTCCACGCTGACCCTATGCGGATTGGAGGGTATTAACGACTGCAAATGCAGCCGGTACCAACGGCTTAACGTGCCTTCCGAAGCACGGCGTAGCTCGAGATAATATTTTTTTTTGGTCACCCATCCCGTGAGCGACCCTTGCGAAAGTTGCTAAACGACAACGATCGCGGGCCGCGGCGCTTATCCACTGGGCCACCGAGCTGCTACGACATTCAATATCAATATAACATTCTAATATTAAGGCTAGTGATAGGTTTCTTCAGCGGCGTGCATATTGAAAAAACTTACCAATTTTCAGCATAGTTTACCTTCTAATTAGATTGACCACTTGGCCTGGCCTAGCCTGGATGATGATCATTAGATGTTTGTTGGTCACCATCGAAATAATAAACCTGAACACGGCTCATGTCACATACCTGTTCTTTTTCAAAAATCAAAAACGGCAAAGAAGAAATCGCAGATGAGGAACCTGATATTAGCAAACTTATATTACCTTGGATGGTTAAGGAGATTGTGCCATAATCCTCGACGCTGGCCCAATGCAGATCGGAGGGTATTAACAACTGCAAAAGCAGGCAAAACCAATGTTTTGTTCACCCATCCTGTGACCGACCCTAGCGAAAGTTGCTTGTTAACAACGATCGCGGGCCATGGCGCTTGTCCACTACGCCCTCTATGAACATTTTTGAATTATCCAATCCAATTATAATTAATACTGACGAAAAAGTATGAAGCTCTGGTCTGAGTGTTTGGATACCTTTGTTATTTTTTTTCATATCCGTTATACAAGATTTAGTCATTTAAATTTGAGCAAATGTGATGTTATCTTATATTTATTTATTATCTGTTAATGGTTTGTATCAGGTTCCCCTACGGAGGAGCAAGCGACAGGTAAAGTGGAACTACCCGCATGGAATACAGACAACATCGCACACGGCGAACTGCAACGGAACATGTGCTGTTGACAGTACATAATGCACACACCGGCGCATCATGGTTACCAAGTAACGTGAAAAATTAAACAATCTTGAACTCTATACCGGTTGTGTATTATGGTTTACAATCAGTTGAAGAAATTTGACCGTTTTGTATAACCCAATGTCTTCTTGACTGTCCAATACATTTTTTGGAGTTTAAAATATGGGTGTCATAATTTGTTGTTTTTTATACGGCTTTAATTCATGTCATTATACTATCGAAATATTAAGAAATAATTTTATGTTTTTCAAGAATGTGGCTAAGTTAATGACTAAAAATTAATAATAACACATTATATTAACAGTACCTACTATTTCTTTTTTTCTTATATACAACCATAAACAAATAATAGACATTACAGATTATTTCCTAGATAGACTCTTATTTTAATTTTTGTGAATCATTTCTTGGGGACAACTTGAATCATTTCTTGTCTGCTTTTGCAGTTTAAATAAATAACAATACATCAATAAATTTTCTTATATTTTCTGACGCAATATTTCATTTATAACTTTGATTTTTTAAAAGCATCTCTCTATTTCTTACTAGTTTAAAAATATTAATGTTTTCAACACCTCCAAGTTAAAAAAAAAACAAAAAACATTGTAACTCACTTTTACTAATTTAAAATATAGTAAATAATAAGACAAAAAATAATATCTATCTATTAAATTAGAATAAAATAACCTCAGTGATCGACTTGCCCACACGTCGATTTCAAGGTGATATTACATTTTATTGTATCGTATCTGGGCTGTTGTGATGCCTTTGTTATTTCAAATTTCCATAACGAGGGGCTTTAGGCACTCGATTTGTGCATTGTATATGACGTTATCCGATAATTTATTTTATATTTGATATTCTAGTGTTTTCTTTTTCTGTTAATAATACTATACTTAACTAAACTTTCGAACTAAAATAACTTGGAACAATTATAGCCGGTATTGGAGTACTATCGCGTACTATTACCTTAATCCAATGTTTTACTTATTATTATATTTTTACTTGCTACATATCTTTTTTTTTGTTTTCTACGTTAATATTATAAAGATTTCTAGTTTGGTTGCATTGCGTGTGCTGCAAAACTACTAAACGAATTTAAAAAATTTCTTCACCTACTTATGGGTGACATAGGCTATAATTAACGCGTAATAAAACTTAGTTGCAAGGAAAACGGCTAATATAATGTACAGAAATTGAAAAACTACATTGCCATTAGATTAAGAAATAATAATAATAATTAAATATACATATGTAAAAAATAATTAATGTAAACAACCAATTCAGAGCTCTGCTATTAATGTGTTAAGGTTTGTAAATTGACAGTTTTGTGTAACCTGGTGACTGTGTACCTATAATTTTGTTAAATTCTTTTTAGTTAATAAATAATTTACTGTATTTTTCTCTCGATGACTTATTTTGATATACTATATTACTATTAGATTACAAGGCTCTATTGTTTTATTTTATAATAAAAATAATTATGAGTTGCTTTAGAATGATAATATACGAATTTTGATTTGACAAACGTTTTAGAAGCAATTAATATAAATAATAATTCTTAGATTTATTTTAATCTCGAGACAGTTTACAGTATCACATTGCACACTAAATCTGTAGCAAACAATCTGCGATGATTGCCTAAAGATAGCAAACCGTCCTTGATTGTACATTTACGAATTTATAACTTGTTCTAAAATAAAGTGCTTGGATAACTTAAATTCTATTTTTATGATGTCACTGAACAACGATGTGTTTTAAATGAATTGAGTAACGATTCAAATTTTACTTTACATGTATTATTTAATATAAGAAGTAGTTTACGATTTGATAATTTACTTCACCTATTATCAGGAAACTCTTTAATATGAGTTAAAATTAACAAAACTATTTAAACAATACGAAGGTCTGTTTTCTATAAAATATTATTTATGTAAAGATAACGCAATATAATGTTGCGCCACCACCAAACCATGATTGCCAAGATTTATGTTGACAATAGATAAAAATTTTTTGGTTGTTTGGAGACATGTTTGAATAGTATTGTCAAACAGCCATCTTGGTTCGCGTTGCGCTTCAACTTTAGTGTGTAAGGTGTGCCAATAATATTAATTTTTATAAATTATTTAATGCATAATCATAGTATAACACTTACGACACTGACATTTGTAATTGAACCCGAAGTCATAAAATGGCAATAATGGCGGCCAATGTCACCGTGGAGACAAAAATCGTAAACTTCATATTTAGCTATAAAGAAAAGACCAAGAGAAATTAATTGTCTTTGAATCAGTACTAAAATGAGAGCTATCCCATGAAGTATCCTATTCTTTTAATTTTATCGGACACATTAATCAATCTTGACTAGATATCAGATTTTAACAATTCATACAATTTGACGCTTCTCACTGAATTTTAGATTTTTCTATGGTTGAATCTTTGATTATATATTAGTGTGGAATTGTTAAGTTGACTCAGAATATAAAATTATGAGACAAAATTGTATTTTAGTTTTTTGAACATTTTTTGAATTTGGAGAATTGAAGTTTGTAATTATCTTAATGTCGAATGAATAACATATTTATGTTTTTATTTCAAAAATATGACCATAATCATCCTCTCATCCCAAACGGTTACGTTAGGTACGTTACGTTACGTAGGCTACGTTATGTTTCGCAGTAATTGCTTAAGTATACACATCACAAATAAAATGTGTCAAATAATTAACTGTATTACGAATTAGCTTTATGAAAATGGTGGAGATTTTTTTAAGAATTTCCTTTTCGTTGCTTTTTTTAACTTTCATCGGTCATTCACCTTTTATTTTTTACATTAGAATTCATTATTTGTTAGCAAAATGGTTTGTGTACCTAAATGTCGTTACCTACTACTGATCAGTAATAAGAGAAAAATGTAATTTTAATTTATTTAATTAGGTGTTTTAGCATTAGAGCAGCGATTCCCGAAACACCTGGGATTCCCGAAACTCCGTAGAAGATCCACAGGGGCTCCGTGTTCAAGTTAAATAAAACATTCATAATTAAATTAAGACTATAATGATTGCAATGTTCTATTTTTCATTTATAATTTGCTTCTCACATGAAAAATATTGAATCTAGAAGGTAATTTTTTTAGTTGCCAAAATAGAGGGAAACCCTGCTCTAGAGCCAATAACTGTGGGCCTTATTAGGGTTGACAGCATAATATTTTTTTTCTTTTGTATTAAATATATAGAATGTAGAATTTTTAAGCGTGTGAACTGAAGCTCGCTTTGTCGATATTTTGATACATAAATAAAATTATTTTATAGATATGTCGATAGTAGTTAAGTAAGTTGTGCATATTGCAAATGTTCGATGATACGAATTTATTTGATGTAAATCAATTTTTTTTTTGTGTAATATATTATCTGTAGATAATTATGGTGATTGTTTTAACTATTGTAGTGTTTTTGTAACAATAACGACACACTTGCCTATTTGAAATAAGAATAAAACTATATTTTTAGAAGAAACTTGTTTTATTGTCTACATAAGTTTAAAAACTGGGTTTATGTGTAAAAACACGTCTAATCATAATAAAATATCCTAAACCATTATAACGGTTTAAGACTGCGTGCAGATCCAAAAACAAGTAACTTTCAATAAGGAGTATTTAAAAAAAAACGAAAGCACTAAAAAACAACTTCTACTAGATGGCGACTCTATCAAAAGTTGATTTTTCCAGAAAACGAATGGACCAAAGACAGTCATTTCCGTTCCTTTTAACTAACATATTAAAAAACTGAAATTTGAATAGTTCGAAACTTAGATATCAATACAAATACAAAAAAAATGTAAATAGAATATGAGTTGTTTATTGAGTTTTGAAAACTAATTTACTTTTAAACTTGAAAGAAAACCGCAAAGGTTGTCATGGAGAAATCAAGAACGTACCGTAGCGACATCTAGTTTGATTTCGAGAACCAATGTTTTTTTTTAATCAATCATATTTGTCAAGGTGTTGTCACAGTCGAAATATGAATTTCTAAAATTATAATTGAAGAAGGTACCACTGATCACATTTTTTTTTAACTGTCTGAAGTATCCGTCCTTATATAATAAATTAACTCCCACCTAAAACTCCACATCCAAGTTAATCTTTAGGGCGCTTGTGCACTACACTGAATTTTCATGTCCGGCGGTCCGATTTTTTCAGGTCCGATATGTCAGGCCATATGTAGGTAATGCGCGCTTGTGCACTGTCAGGAATTTTACCGTCCGGAATTTTACTTTTCTCTATTCCGGACCGGTTTTTTCAGTTCCGTGATGGCAGCAATGAAAAACGTGTTTACGCTTGTACACTGCTGTGTCCGAGATCCGGAAAATTCATAAGGAATAGGCTTGGGAAAAAATAATCGATTTGAATCGATATTTATTTCGGCAATATAGTTAATTTCCAATAAACTTATAATCGATATTTATTGTTGATTATAAAATGCTATATTTTATATGATGATTCAATATAGTTGGTATATATCACAACTCGGTAAAGTTCTAATTTGATCAGCGTATGGTTCTAGTATCGATACTTAGCTAGATTTTAGAATCGTATTAAAAGTATCGATAGCTTAAGGTAAGATAAATAAGTGTTGTTACGCTTAGATGCCTAAACAACTGAACCCATCTAAATGGAAATTAATATAGTAAATAGACTCTAAGAAAGGACATAGGCTACATTTTATCGCGAAAAATAGGGGATGAAAGTTTGCCTGGAAATCTGTTATTATCAATTTTTTTTTAGACAATTGATAAGTATAGATAAATATTCGACAACAGAAGTAATAATAAAGAATAAACAGAAGATTTACAAAAGTAATTAAGTGACACTCAATGTCTTTTTCGCATTTAATAAAATTGTTTGTGTCATTAATAAATTTTAAAAAAGAAGTATTCTAAGGGAAAAATATTTCTGCTCAAAGAAACTACACCACGCGTATAAAAAATTA